GGAGACTGGGGCAGGAGAATCTCCCAGCTACTTGGGAGGCTGAAGCAGGATAATTGCTTGAACCTGGGAGACAGGTGTTGCAATAAGCCGAGATCGAACCACTGCACCTCAGTCTGAGTGACAGAGGGAGACTCCATCTCAAAAAGACAAGAAGTCATTAAGCAGTCCAGTTGCATCACAAGAATACTTGTATCAGCTGTTCACCAGCAGCAACAACAAACAGCAGGCTTTCAGTCTCAACCTGCCATGCTGCCTTTTGATGAAAAGGGCACCATGCATCATGGCGTCATGCCAGTGCTCAAAAAGTTTAAGATTTTGGGACATTTCAGACTTTGGATTTTTGGATTAAGGATGCTCAACCTGCATTAGTAAGTTTTTTTGGGGGGCCTGGTACCATTTATATGGGTGTGTCATATTGAACACATAAATCATAAATTATGTCTTTATGATCTGTGTACTTTTCTATATGAATGTTAACTGCTAATATATTTTTAAAGGAAAAGAGTATTATGTGCCAGGTCATAGTGAGGAAGGTCTACTGCTGGTTGCATGAACTATTTGAATGCTTCCCTTTTCACACAAACTAGGTGGCATTACAGGATAACAGTGTAAATGATACATTTTAAGAATGTATCCTATGGAGAAAAAAAATCAGCAAGTTTAAAAGCACATGCACAAAGATGTATTCTGTGGCTAAACATCGAAGTTACTAAAATGTCCGTGACTTAAGGATTGGTTAAATAAATTACAGAAGAGGGCTGGGTGCGATGGCTCATACCTGTAATCCCAGCACTTTGGGAGGCCAAGGTGTGTGGATCACCTGAGCTCAGGAGTTTGAGATCAGCCTAACCAACATGGTGACACCCTATCTCTACTAAAAATATAAAAATTAGCTGGGCATGGTGGCAGGCACTTGTAATCTCAGCTACCTGGGAGGCTGAGGCAGGAGAATTGCTTGAACCCAGGAGGCAGAGGTTGTAGTGAGCTGAGATCAAGCCATTGCACTCCAGCCTGGGCGACAGAGTGAGAGTCCATCTGAGAGAGAAGAAAGAATGAAAGAAGAAAGAAAGAAAGAAAAAGAAAGAAAGAAAGAAGAAAGAGAGAAAGAAAGAAAAGAAAAGAAAGAAAAGAAGGAAAATGACAGAAGAGTCACACAGAAGTCTCCTGGTCCTATTATATTAAAAAGGGGCCGGGCGCGGTGGCTCAAGCCTGTAATCCCAGCACTTTGGGAGGCCGAGGCGGGTGGATCACTAGGTCAAGAGATCGAGACCATCCTGGGCAACATGGTGAAACCCCGTCTCTACTAAAAAATATATAAAAAATTAGCTGGGCACGGTGGCGTGTGCCTGTAATCCCAGCTACTCAGGAGGCTGAGGCAGGAGAATTGCCTGAACCCAGGAGGCGGAGGTTGCGGTGAGCCGAGATCGCGCCATTGCACTCCAGCCTGGGTAACAAGAGCGAAACTCCGTCTCAAAAAAAAAAAAGGGGGCTGTATAAAATTTTATTTCAAGTTCCAGATACACGTGCAGGACGTGTGATTTGTTACATAGGTAAACGTGTACCGTGGTGGTTTGTTGCACCTATCGACACTTCACGTAGGTATTAAGCCCCACACGCATTACCATGCTGGGCTGCTGGGGTGCTCTCCCTCCTACCACCCCTGCGACAGGCCCCAGTGTGTGGTGTTCCCCTCCCTGTGAAAAAGGACCATATTTTCTAACATGAAAAGATGCTGAACATTTATGGCTAAGTCAAGAAAGTAACCTTCAGAATAGTATATAGTATGATTCCATTTCTGTAAAATTACTACTGCTCCTGCTGTTACTACTGTTATTCACACATATATTTTAGATGCAAAAGCCACAAAACAAAAGAAGAGGTCATATACCAGACTGTTAACATACGTTTTTGTCAGAGGGTAATATTACGGGGCATGTTAACATTCTATTTTGTGCATTTCTGTATTTACATTTTGACAAAAAGAATGTGTATTAACATCAGAAAAAAAAGCGATTTTCATTAAGAAATAGAAATAAAATTTGATTATAACATGTGCCATAAAAATACTCCTGGTTTTTAAGCCCAGAACTTTTTTCTCTTCCCTCTCCTCCTTCTCCCCTCTTTTTCTTTACCGTCTATACTTAACACAAACCTTTGAAATGGTTCATTTCTACCACATTTTTCAAAGTTTGACTCTCAGGCTGATGCCAGAGAGTAAATCTTCCGAATAGGGCTGTACTTTGAGGTAGCATTGCATTTTACAGGATGTCAGTGTTCTACTTAAGAAATGAGAATGGTATATCCCTCTGATATAATCCTGGTCACAGGGAAATCAAAGGTGAATAAGGACCAAACCAGTTTAACGAGTAACAACAGTTGATAGATTAACAGGTGCTTCTGATCAGTACCAGACAACCCTGGCAAATTAACCAGGAAAGCTACTATATTGGCTTCCCTTGGGAAGGGAATCTATACGTTGAATGTTCCCTGAATGAATTTAGTTCATTTAACTGTGGTTTCAGTCATCTTCCAGTCTCTCTTAATTTGAAACTGATTCTTATTGCCACTTATCCTTCTGCTTCTGATCAGAAGTTGGATTCAGGTCTGTTATCTTTTTAAGTCACCCTTTTAACAATTATTAGAGGCATACATTTTCCAGACCCCTTCACTGTTAACAGTATCAGCATCAAGAATCCAAGTACAAATTGTAGAGCTAGACTGACTAATTTCCAGTCTTAATATAGCTTAATAGATGAGAATTTAAAAGTCAGGAACTCAGGCGTTGTTAGTGAGGTGCCCCATTCCTGATGGCAACGAGGAGGTTTGTCAGACTGGCACTGTTTTGGTTGGATTATGCTACTTCATCTTGGACGTATGTTAAACTGCGTATGGTTGCTTGATGGCTCAAATATCTTTTTTTTCAAAAAAAATCTCCAAACTTAGTAAAGGTGAAATAATGACTATTTCCTATATTTGTAAGAAACTCTTGAAAGAGGCATTTTATGTCGTGAGACTGAGCATGAAGACATTGTATCCTAGAGACACATCTGCCACAAATCAGAATCAGAACAGAAGGGACCACAGGCCCAGTAGACTGTTGACCGGCCCTTGAGATGGCCAGTAAATGCACAGATGGACTTACTGAATTCTAAATCAAAGGTTGGGCCGCATTTGCATATAAAGGGCTTCTTCACCTAAGCCTCTGGCTTGAATCTTCTAGGCACATATGTTGGCTAAAAAGGAATTCTGTCAACTCACACTCTAAGCTTGAACTTTTTCCTTGTTGGATTTCCTATTCTATTAATTAACTTAAAGTCTTTATTCTTCTTCTTTTTAGCTCTCATTATAAACAATCATTAAAGTCTGTAAATATTAGGCCTATAATACTTTGTATTAAGATACTAATATAATACGCTCCACAGGTAGATATTTGAAGAAAACAGCATTCCTCTGCAGCACTACTTTTTGGCTTTTACTTCCATTTAACAAATTTTTACTGAGTGGCTCATTGGTACCAGAAGCCAGGCAAGTGGGACCTACATAGTGCCTGGCACCCAGGGCCATTCCGAAATGTATTTTTTCAGATTCCTAAATTACTACTTAAAAAATTCAGATTGAACAAAACACAAAAATTCAGCCGTAATTTTCTCACTTCTCCATCATAACTAAGTAAAAAAGTGTTCATACAAACCGTACAAACGTTTTTAAATAAAGGACCCGCCCAAATGTTGTCATATAAATAGAGGGAGAAGAGTAAGCCGGAGAAGAGCGATTATCAAATGAGCTCAGACTTGATCTAGCAGAGGCTGAATCAGAATTTTTGCTGTGATGAGTTAGTCTTTCTTTTTTTATAATGAATGGATAACTCCAAGTTTGCTTAAAGGTTAGTATGGTTGGTCATTCTTACAAATCAGCTCTGTCATTAATCATCTGCCCTCATTAAAAAAAAGAAAAGAAAAGAAAAGAAAAAGGAAGAGAAACCCAGGAAACCTGAAAATAAACTCTCATGGATTTGATGCCACACACAATCACACGGTTATTTGTCTCTTAACCCGTGATGTGCTTGTTCACATCCTAGACATATAGTAAAATATGTTGAACCGAACAAATCAACAGCAAGGGAGTATAAACTCGATCTTAGCTTACAACAGGTTTCTTTAATGAGAACAATAAATGTGTGTGTTCAGCTCTTCAAAGCACTTTGGCTTACACAGAGGAATAAAAAAAATAATAAATAAGCCCCTCAAAGCCAAAACACAAAAATGGAATATCCCACCCACTTGCTGGCTCTCAGTATTTCCAGATCACCTTCGAGGTTGGCAGATCGTTTGGGTCCCTACGATGTCCAGCATTTGAAGGTGACTAGGGCATGGGCTGAGGGAGGCTCTGAGACCAGGCAGCCTCACTTACAAGCCCTCCAAAAGGCAATTTCCATTACAGATCAACTAAACACAGTGTCCTGTGTGTGGTGGTAGAGGGGAAAAGACATCTCTCTACTTTGTAAAGTGATAGCATTTAGTACAAAATGAAAAGTATTTAGTTACAAAAAGATACTTAAGAACCTCTATAAGCGGGATCACAAATAAGCTGAGACACCCAGACTAGTTGTATAATTCAGCAAATTAAATATATATATATATATATATATATATATATATATATATATTTTTTTTTTTTTTTTTTTTCTCCCCAGAGAAATATCATGGGCTCCGCAAGACTGCATGAAGAGACAAACCCTTTAAGAAAGACCATCACTTGTCGAGACTCTTTTCCTGTTGACAGGCTGTTGTCTGAACAATGAATCCTGGAAGCACCTAGGAGAAAGCACCTAAGAGAAACGTCTTAGGGAGTAGTCCCGCGGGTCCGCCCCAGGACAATAAGGCTGTCAGTTTCCCCGCCCTTTGCACCTGTAGTACGGGCTGTACCCAACGCGAGGCTTTGAGACATCCTCTAGCCATCGGAGCCCATCATCTACCACAAAGAACCACCGAAGTACTTACTTTAGCAGAACAGTTTCCGGATGAAAATTATCGGGGAGAGGAAATGAAGGATATTAAGAAACAGACCCCGTCTCTAGAGTCTGAGATCAAACCCGAGACCGATGGAGCCCAGGCATCTGGTGGAGGAAAGCAGGCAGGCATAGCCCTAATCTGGTCCCCAGCAAGATATTTCTGTGAATGAATGGGTCCCTCTGCTCCCTGGAGGAGGGCACATTACAGATCCCTTTCCTAAATCGGAACTTAAGCAATTTGCCCATGATTTGCACACCTCGATAGGGAAAGGCAGGCAGGGTTCCAGTGTCTAATCAGACCTGGGAAAAGGGGAAGGGTCGCTGGCGCAGTTACCTACTGGGTTTCCGGGAGCTAGGGAAAACACCCCTGGGAAACGCAAGTGTTCAGCGCTACATAAAACTTCCCCGGATTTAGGGCCACCCGAAGACGGGCGAAAAGACACGCCAGCGCCTTAAGGTGCAAAGCCAGCTGTCAGTGTGCGCGTGGCGAGTCCCCGTTCCCGGGAAGGGACGCAAATGACCCTAGAAAATCAGACAGGAGCAAAACAAACCCAAGAATGGCCCTCCACACCCTACAAAGGCAAAAACACGCAGAATGTACCTACACACACACTCGGCAAAGTGTAAAACAGTCTACGCCTGCCTGGAGGAATCCACCTTTGCAGAGCGGCAGACGCGAGGGAAGACCTTCCCGGCTCCTTGTGTCCGGGACCAAGGCAGGTCATCCCGGGGCCAAGGACATTGCGCTCAGGGCTCCTTGCGGCTCCTACTGCAGCCCGTGGATTCACCCCGAGCCTCGGAGAGCCGGGCTGCGGGTGCTGCTCGGGACAGTAAGGACATCGCGAAAGGGATAGATTTGGGGGTGTTCCACAGCAAAGAGCCAGATCTCCGGGAGCCCGGAAAGAGTCTGGGAGGCGGCTGTCCTCCAGGACCCGAGGCCGCCCCAGGCAAGGAGTCGGGGCGCCTCCGCGTTGGGCAAGTTCACCCTCAGAGCTCGGAACCCTGCAAGTCTCCCTTACTGACCTGCAGGTCAGGACACGCGACTTCCCGGGCCGGGGTCCTGAGTTCGCGGTGGGGCGATCCTTCAGGCTGGACGATCCGCACCCGCGAAGCCGTCCTCGGGAATGTTGGGCGCAGGGGCTCGGCGCGCAGCCTGGGCGCACGGTGGGCAGCGGGCGCAGCGGGAATGGACAGGGGCTGCCTGCTCTGCACAGCCCGCGCGTCGTCCCCCCGCCCCTCCCGACCGCACAACCAATGGCTGCGAGCTGGGCCCACTCCTCGCCGCCCCCCAGTCTCCGCTCTGGCGGGCGCTTGGCTCTAGGAAGGCGCCCAGCTCGGTTGAGGGAGGAGCTTGCGCCATCGTTGGAAAATCCTGGAGGACGAGAAGGCGTTGCGCAGGGAGCCCCATCTGGGGAAGGCAGGTGTAGTGGGTGAACTTTTGTGTGTGGGGGGGAGTGGGGTGGGGGGTTGGATGCAGTTTCTTTAGGGCTCAGGGACCTCTCTGTAGATGAAAACATCCACTTCTTGCCAACTTTCTTCTCCTCTTACATCTTCTATGAGTTCCGCGCAGCCCCCACCCTAAACAACTACTCTGGGTGCATCATCGCAAGCTCAGCTCCGACTGAGCTGCGTGGGGCATGGCCTTATCTTGTGATGGGCTTCACCACAGACAGCGCTAGCTCAGCCTTCGCCGCGTGCCCCTCTGAATCCTATACCAAATCATCAAATGAGTTGAATAGGATTGCAGTTTCTGTCACTGCCAGGGAGACAGGCAGCCATGAGTCCCTACTAGGGAACTGGCGTAGAGAGTCATGTATCATAACAGAACTGCGGAAAAGGAAGCTTTAATTGACCCTACTAACTTCAGTTACCAATCAGTGCTGCGACCTTGACCAGACAACTCTCCCGCTGCATTCCTGTTTTTCAACTGGAAAATGAGAGACGTGGATCACCTGTAGGTCTCTTTCACTCTGACATTCAACAGTCCGTTTGCTCTGTGGCCCGCAAAGGGCTGAGTCCCTGAGAAGTGTTGGAGCGGCTACCTGTTCCGGAGCCCCTACTCTGTTCGGTTCTGCTGTCTCACCGTGAGACCTGTTTGTGGCCAGAAAAGCAAATATGCACAATAGAGAATCAAGCCACCCAAGTCCCAGTGACCACCAACACATGCACGTATGCTTCCACCCACTAGGGCCCAGCTTCCAGGAGCCTGCTACCTCCACCCATGTTCAACTGTTCTCTAGGTAGAGACAGGCAGGGGCATCTGGCTTAACTCAGAGGCTCTGTGGCAACAAAGTAAAGGCTCTCTGTCTCTTCCCTTCCTTCTCCAGGGCAATTGTGGGTGGGTGTGAATCTTTTCTATGTAGATCCTTCTGTGCCTGATGTAAAATGCAGGAGGATGGAATGAGCTGTGTTGTCAAGAGGGCAGATTCAGAGAACCACTTCCCTCAGGGCACACTTGGATTGGCTTCCTGAATTTCACCTGTTCATGTGGCACTCTCCTGAGTTACCTTACATCCATTTACAGTCTGCTCCATGACGCACTTAGTAAATTTTACCTTAGATTTTTGCTTGTCTTGATACCGGTCATATTTAGTATTTCAATGGACAATAAAAGAGAGGGGTAAGTCTTCCATGCTAAAATCATTCCAAATATCACTGGTTGTTCTCACAACTAATTTTGTGAAACACTGAGGTGTATGAGAGGGCAGTTAGAACTGTTGACCTTCACTGGTCCTCAAAATTTCTTTTTGCATAAGATTCCTAGGCCCCAACCCTATTGTCTGGTTCATTCATACTCTGCAGAATTCTTTTTTTTTTTTTAATGAGATGGAATCTCATTCTGTCACCCAGGCTGAATTGCAGTGGTGTGACCTTGGCTGACTGCAACCTCTGCCTCCCTCGTTCAAGCAATTCTCTTACCTCAGCCTCCCAAGTAGCTGGGATTACAGGTGCCCACCATCACGCCCAGCTAATTTTTGAATTTTAAGTAGAAATGAGTTTTCTCCATATTGGCCAGGCTGGTCTCGAACTCCTGACCTAAGGTGATCCGCCGGCCTTGGCATCCCAAAGTGCTGGGATTGCAGGTGTGAGCAACCCTGCCTGGCCCACACTCTACATGATACTAATGCAGTTTGTTCATTGAGAAACTCTGCCAATGTCATGAAATTGTCAGAGAAGGGAAAAGAACTTTTGATTGCTGGGTGAGCTTTTTATTCAGGCTGGTATATGTCAGTTCTCTTTTCCTTGTCTTACCTTTGGTGACAAAGTAAGGTAACTCCTTCCCTCAGTGTCCATTTTATAAGGCTTTTCTTGACATTTTCTAAACTGTTTCCTAGGGCTTCTACCCCAATTTTCCTGGGATAAACGACCAGAAAGTGGATGGCTTAAAGAAACGGAAATGGATTCTCTCTCAGATCTGGAGTCCAGAAATGAAATTGTCAGTTGGTTCCTTCTGGAGGCTTTGTGAGAATCGTTACACAAGTTCTTCCCTTGTTCACGGGGGATGCCTTGAACATCCGCAGGAGGTGCCTACAGCCACGGAGAGTAGTGAGCCCAAGTCTGTTCATCAGAACACATTTCTTTTAATCTCTTCCACCCACAAGCTTAATGACCCTTTGATCTTAACTAAGCTCTTATCCCACACTGAGGCTGTAACTTTTGCAGTTTGAAGTGCAACAGCAAAACTGCATGACTTTCTTTTACCTTCTTTGCAATTTCACAGACGGAAGTTTCCTTCGTACTGTAGATCTAAGCAACCTCAACCTGTGTGTTTTTTTTTCTTGTTAAGAACTTTCATCTTTGCACTTGAAGGAAGGACTTTACAGTTTTTCTTTGGCATACTTAACTTGCCAGTATCACTACGCTTGTATTTTGAAGCCATTATGAAGTCAAATAAATTTTTCTTGAAGACAAACACTGTGAGTCCATCACAGTCAATTTGATAACCAAGAAGGCTTCTAAGTGGTTAATGGGTAGGGAGCTTAGACACTGTGGATACACCACTGTATCCACAGGAGGTATCTATACTGGACAAAGGGATGATTCATAATTCGAGCGGATGAAAACAGGACAGTGTGAGACTTCATTACACTACTCAGAATGGCAGCAACTTAAAACTTATGAATTGTTGATATCTGGGATTTTCCATTGAATATTTTCAAATTACAGACCTCAGGTAACTGAAACTGTGGAAAGTGAAATCTCAGATAAGAGGGGGACTACCAGGAATGCCTTTTTCCCAGCACTCAGCAATCCTTGGTGTTCCTTGGCTTGTAGGTAGATGCATTGCCCCAGTCCCTGCCTCTGACTTCAAATCATCTCCTATGTGTTTCTTCTTTCCTTCTCCCCTAGGACACTTTCACTGGATTTAGGGCCCACCATAATCCAGAATGATCTTATCTTGAGATTCTTAATTAAACTAAGTCTGCAAAGACTTTTTCCCCCCCAAATAAGATCACATTTATAGGTTCATATATTTTTGGGGGGAAGCACCATTCAACTCACTACACTTAGTATCACTGATTGCCCAAACCCTCTGCTTTTGTGTGAGGGCGTCCTACATCCTCAGGGCGACATTGGGTAAACTCTAGTGATTTTAGGCTTTTGGGTGGCTGCCCAAGTCAACAGGGCCACTTAAAAAAAATGATGGCCACTTAACTGTGACACAGGGAAAACATGTAAGTGTGTTTTGTGGTCTTACTTTGTAAACTCAGTGATTCTATCTAATTCTTCTTTCTCCTTATCTTTTTGACTTAGGATGCCTTGATAACGTCCTCTGTTTGATCTGGTATAAAACTCCTTTATTGCCTCTGTATTAGTCTGTTCTCATGTAGCTGATACAGACATACCCAAGACTTGGAAATTTACAAAGGAAAGAGGCTTAGTTGACTCATAATTTCACATGGCTGGGACCTCACAATCATGGTGGAAGGCAAGGAGGAGCAAAGTCACATCTTACATGATGGCAGGCAAGAGAGAGCTTGTGCAGGGGAACTGCCATTTTTAAAACCATCAGATCTTATGAGACTTATTCACTACCATATGGAGAACAGTACGGGGGAAACCACCCTCACCACTTAATTATCTCCACCTGGCCTTGACATGTGGAGATTATTACAATTCAAGGTCAGATTTGGGTGGGGACACAGTAAAGCCATATCAGCCTCCAAGTACAGTGAAGAATTGGGAAGTCAGCCTGACATGGGAAGCAAAGCTTTTGTTCTCTTTATTTAAAAAAAATTCCCATGTAAGATATCTAGAAGATTTTAACTACCAAATTTACTTCCATAGGATGTCTTTATAGGTAGGACAGGTACCACTCAAAGGCCTGGGACTTTACAGGCAAGATTTGAAGACATAACTTTTAGGGAGCACAATGATTTTTCTCCTCCCCTTTGGTCTTATTCCGGGAGAAATGGGTTGTTGAAAAAAGTGTGGAATTTGGAATCAGATGGAGAGTCATTACATTCTCATGCTATCATTTACTATCTGTGTGAATTAAGCCAATTAACCTCTCAGCCTCATTTTCCTGATCTATATAAATGAAAATAGTGTCTGCTTTATTAAATGGTTCTTGAGTGCTAAACACACACACACACACACACACACACACACAGACACATACATACACACACACACAAACACATACACACACACACACACACGAATTCCTAACAGTTGTCTGCTATCTGGTAAGTGCTAAAAAACACTAGCTCCATCTTTCCTTCCTTGCAGTCATGCTCTGAAAGCAACATTCAGAAGTACTTTTAGTAATTTTCTTCTAGGTTTTCAGGAAAAAAATGTTCTACCACGGTTACTGCCTGAACTAACTTGTCTCACTTTTCTTTATTCCTTCATCTCAGCCTCCTTTTGATGTTCCCTTTATAAACTTTATCTTCTCTCTCATGCTCAGTATCTTTTCTTTCAAGCAAGCCTCTTATTCCATCAGCCACTGTTTCAGAGACCTGTGTTCTGT